ACTCAACTTATCATGCTGGTGATTTGATTTGATGACTTGACCTAGTGATGTGAGGCTTATGACTTGAACTAGGGGCTTGTGAGCACGAGCGGGTTTGCTACCGGGGTACAGCCCTAGTAATAATAACTTTAATTTTCTCAAACAAGGGACTGAACCAAGTTTGAAACACTAATCTAATTGAGACCAAGAAAGACAATGATAAGGAATTCTCCGATTAGTGCTCATGTCAGAAGAGCTGTTCGCCCGAGGTGGTAAAATATTAGCAGTTGACAGTTGAGGATGGGTTGATTTGTTCAAGACTTATGTAGAAACAATACTTTACTTACTTTTTACTTTTTCATCCTCTGTTGCCGTTAAGCGTCGAGGGGAGATGCAGTTTTCTGTAGTAGGCCAGCTCAGCAGCTCTTTCAGTTGTGATATTGTGTTTTCTGAGGGTTTCCTTGACACCCTCGATCTACCTTTTGTGTGGCCTTCCTCTTCCTTTATAGCCTGAGTGCTTGGTGTTGTAGGCTCTCGAAGCTGGCTGGCCAGGTGACATAGGCCTATGTAACAGGTAGCCAAACCTTTTTATTCTCTGTCTTTCTTTGTAATAGAGGCAGAACTCAATGTCGATAGCTGCTCTTCATTTCTCTGCCAGTCTCGTCTTGTGATGTTAAGAGTTTTGCCGAGACATTTCATTTCGCATACAATGATTTTGCTTTCACCGCTTTTACCTAATGCCCAGGTCTGGCACTGGTAGCATAATGCTGGTATGAATATTGAGGTGATAAGCTGTCTCTTTCTGTCCATGTAGTTGTTTGGATGCGATAGGTGGGGTGCGAGCTGATAGGTGACAGCGTTGGCTTTTTGAGTTTGCATTTCTATTTCTCTGTCTATGGACCCGTTTTCAGAAAAAGTACTGCCAAGATATTTCAACTCCTTCACCTGTTTCAGTTGTTTACTATTGCAGAGTCCCCTAAACATCCATGTCAGTTTAGTTTAGTTTTAGTAGAGCGCCGTAAAAAACCTCTACTAAAACTAAACTAAACTGACATGGATTTTCAGAGGACTACGGTTTCGGCTAATTTATATAACTTATGTTTTTGATGAGCTTATTTTCATTAAAAATTTCTCGCAGCTGTTGTTCAGTTCGGTAGTGTGATTTCGGAGGCTTTGTTGGTTTTGATTAATATGACATTGGTCGTCTGCGACTAAAAGTCAATTTAGGCTTTCTGGGCTTTGTTTTGCGTCTTGCGCTATTGTTTCCATAATTATATATTATGAACAAGAGGGGAGATAGGCCCTGTCGTACTCCAGGTCTTACTTTGAACCAGTCTGTATTATCTAAGATTTGTCCTCTGATGCCATACTTTTCGAGTGTCTTCCCGAGTTTTGCATGGTTTACTCGGTCAAAAGCCTTCTTCTGGTCAATAAAGACTATGTTGGAAGCGTGCAAGTTTGTCACAGGCCTCGACTGCGCCCTGCATGATAGAAGTTATCTCTGACACTCTCAAAAAAGTAAATGAATTAATGATTGATTGATTGTATGAATTCAATAAAATTTTACAATAGTTTACAACGAAAGAACATTCATTGTTGAAATTTTACAGAGTAATAATATGCTTTGATTAGCATACAAAAAGGAAGAAATATTGAACAACACGAGCTAAATTTACATTTTAGAGGGACTATCTCTACATCGCCTATTTGAGGATGGAGAATAAAAAATTACAGCTACAGTGTTGAAGTGCTGTAATTGTGACTGCCATCAATACTCAAATTATACTTAAATGAAATTGTGGGCCTGTGACACACTGGGCAGCCCAAGGATTCTTTGTTGTGTTCGATTGTTTTCTCGCATATATGTCTTAATGCGAATACAGCATCCGTGCATCCTCTTCCCTTTCGGAATCCAAACTGAACTTTGCTCTGATTTCTCTCTACAATAGGTCTTATCCGCTGTTCTAGTATCTTTGCGTATAATATTTCCCCTGCGTGCCTTGATAAAGAGATGCCTCTGTACATTGTGCAGTCCCGTTTGTTATCTTTCTCATTTCCTTTGCTCCCAGGCTCTATTGAAAATTAGCCTCAGTCACAGTACGCCGGTATTTCCACAAGCTCTTATGGCTTCCATTGTAATGTTATCTCTACCAGGTCTTGTTTTGGCTTAGTCTGTGTTGGAAAAATGTGTTGGTAATTATCATGTCGTACTCAGCGCAAAGGTTTAGTGTCATTTCTCCATTGCTGTTGCAGTCTGTATCTTTCTCACTGTGGGGTCCCAAGTACTCTTCCCAGGGGGTTCTTCTTTGTCCAACTCTGCTATTTAAATTTCCCAAGATAAATATATCTTCTTTGTTCTTGGTGGTGTTAATGTGTGATCACTCAGGACTTGGAAATATGATTGTCTATCTTCCTCTGTATAGTTGTCTTTACAAGGAGCGTTTGTTTGGATGTACTATTTCTGGTTCTGTCTCCAAGTCTGCTGATATTCCATGTGCCCCTTTTAATCTTAGATCTAGCTCGCTGTCCGTTTATTTTTCCTGGTCTTTTTTCGTTTGAATCAGTCCGTGAGTTCTCCTGTGTTTGTTTCGTAGCATGATTTATCCACCGACGGCTTGATAGGCCAATATTCTATATTCTTGATTAATCTGTATCCATTGTTAGTAAATGTGTCTTCTTCATCATCTTCTTCTTCTTCTTCTTCTTCATGTGACAGAATTGAAACCGTTATCGGCAATCATAGAGGCGGTATTTTTGAGTCACACATCTGTTCAAATTATCCCAGCTTGTTATTTTTGGTCTACCTGTGCCTTCTTAAGCTTTATCATTACCCAAAAAAAAGACCATGAAAGGAATGATCGAGGCTCCGTTTGGAACTGGGAGTCGGTAACGTTATTCGCAAAATACACTTTTGAGTTATTTAAACCTTGGGGTCGAAATACATAGACTCTTTACTTTTAGAGCACAGGTTTTCGGGAAGGTGTGGCAGACAGTGTCCAAGTTGAAACAAAAAGACCAGACGCCCTAAAGTCTGTTGCAAAAAAAGTTATAGACCCTGCAGTCAGTTACAGGAGAGAGCTAGCAGAGAATAAAAAAGAAACAATGGAAGAAGGGAAAAAACTGCCATCTTATTCAAACTTGAATATTTAACGTAGAATAAGGACTCCTGTTGACTTTTGCAGTTACGCATTCAATGTTCCAAAATTTGATACAACAGTACGGCCCCCTCCCCCTCCCACTCTATCC